GTGGGAGAGTATAGCAGGTAATTTAGTGTTGAGCTGAGTTGAAAACGTAAATTGGCCACCGTAAAGAGTAAAAAAGCTAAAACGTAAGTTTTTAACTCAGTTGTCAACACTAAATTACGTTTTCAACTCAGTTGTCAACACTAAATTACCAACTAGTTTTTATAGGCTGACACCTTTACATGCGAAAGTATATTATGTGAAACTTACTCAGAGAAGAAATGAAGATAGCGCGCTCGTTTGACTAATTCGCCTAAAAAGGTTTTCAGAAACTTATGAAAAACGCTTACGACGCCCTTAAAGCTGAAAATCAGTCTAGGTTTGTAGGAACAAGTACTAATTGCATAATGATCAGAAAGCACATTAAAGTAAGCATTGTGTGGCACGTGTGATTTTGTTGTGGTCTCGCGAGTCGCGATAAGCTCCAAATCGCACAGATCGCGCGCGCGGTTCAATTGCTGCGTGTGAACTTCAGCCTAACCGTGCAACTTCATTTCGAGAAAAAGCAAATTAGTTTCATATTTATTCCTCTGTGTGGTATTTCATGGTACTACACCGCGTGACATTGCTCTCCGCCATGTTATTGTGTGAGTTCTCTGCTTGTCTGACAGAGATGATCGACCTTCAAGACTGCCATTCAATATCTCCGCACGGCGTCTGGCCCACATGTACAGGTGTTATAACTGAAAATATTTCTACCGGAACAGAATGTCAACTGCTTGTGACTGAAAGACACTTTTTAAACAGGATGTGTTTATTTATACAAGTGTTCTTAGACTCCTTTGTTGAAAGGACAAACTTAACACCAGAATGCAGACAAGCTGTAAAGTAATCTTGCTAAAGAGCTCGAGGCACTTCATGAAGACCTGATTGCAGTTAGCATTCTTGTATTTCGTCTGGCCAAATGAAAAATTAAACAATTCAACTAATAAAGACGTGGACGATTTTCACCAAAATAGGAAGAGACTGTTCGTGAAATACCTTTTACCTTTCAAGGGAAGAAAAACAAAAACTAGAAAGTTCAGTGAATTAGCTTTATAGGTGCGAATAAAAATCGTTTTTTTCCACTCGACCTAATTAATGATAGGACTGACATAGTATACTAAAGAAATGCATTTCATAAGTTTACAGTAAAATAAGGACTATTTTAAACACCATTTTATGCCGATTGCTATCCCAAGAAAAACATTTCTGAAAGTCAAATGGTGGTGTGCTGTCAATATTACAATCTACATTACTCACGGTATGAAAAAGTTCACGTATATGATAACTAGTTAAATCGGTGATTTATATTTAAGCAAATAGCACAATACAAAAGCTTGTACCTGTAAAACTGAAATCAAATAATAACATATCCATGTCTTTCGTTGCTTCATAATCCTTACCTAAAGACTATGTTTGTTTCTGATGCGAGTATTCCGAGGAAACTCAAGTTATCGTAATTAAGACTTGCACACAAAGGTCAAATGAATATATTGTGACACGATGCGTGGAAAATTAATCAACAAAAGAACAAGTTCTCGTACATTTGCATGGAACTTATTGGCCCATATAGACAATGTACGGTATTTGACACCAGTTTGTAAACAGTACAAGAACCTTACAAACAAGGATCAGGGTAAGCATTAGTTATTCCAGAATGTTTTCGAGCAGTTTATGCGAAAAAGATCCATTTTTCGTAACAGGCTCGGCAAAGCCGAAGAGAGAGGAGACCGCGAAAAATTTAATTGCGAAGGTTGGACGACGAATTAAGAGTTAACTAGGATGTGTTTATATTTTTATCCCATTTATTTGTTACAGGGTGGAGGGTTATTTCCATCTATCTGCACTTTCTCAGGGACCCTTAGTTACTGCTTTAGGAACGTAGGATTAAAACCAGAAGGATCGCAGCAGTCAATCAGAACAACGAGGAAAATCAGGTGCCAAAGACAATCGAGTGGGCACTATCAACACAACAGACAAATTGGCCAATGTCAGGGAAACTGTTTTGTTCTAGAATGGCAAAGCTAAATTGTTTTCTGTAAATGGTACTATACTAGCTTACATTGTGCCTCGTAAACTTTTTTCCTAGTCTGGCCATTTTCTGAACCCATTTATAACATTACAGAGAAGATGAGACAGAAAAGGATAAATAATTGCGTCAAGATTTCTTTATTTTAGCATAGCATTGTAAAGATGAAAGGTAGCACCCGTGCTTAATGGATATTTTGGCTTGTACATCCACATGGTGTTCATTTAGCAATGGAGACCAGAGAATTCTCCCACTACAATGTAGAATACTCTGCTTAAATTTCGATGGTCAGTCTGTAGTAGAGTCCAATGGCCCATCCAGCCGGTGCTTATCCCCATTTCCATGGCATATAACAACAAGGAGTATCACAACTCCCACCAAGTATGGGATGCCAGTCAAACACAAGATTATCCCCCAGTATTTTCATCAGGCTCTCCTGAAAATTCATCAGTACTCATTTATACTCTTGGGTGAAGAGAGGCACTGTAAAACTGAAGTGTTTTCACAACACAACACAAAGACCCAGCTTTAACCCTTCACATCCTAACATCAGTATGCATATTCTCCATACTGTCCTCCATAGATTTCCAATGGTGCTTACACAAGGAGAATTTGTTGAACAATCAAGAGCTTCTTTAGTTGGTGATTACTTCCTTTATTCTCATGACCTTAATGTGTGATTCTGGGCTGATATGGTTAGAAGAAATTAGATGCTAGTCACCCTTATGGGTTTAAGAATTAAGGTCTCAAAATCAGACCTCTTGACCCAGAGTCCACGTCCATGCCCTGAATTGTTACTTATTCAGGCCTTGGTAGAGAATATACTCGCAATGCATCACATCATCCTGTTACTACATTCCATAATTAAAACCGTGTAGTACAAAAGTTTACAGTCATGAAGGAGGTAGAGGTGGATATAGACCTAGAAGTCTACTAAGTACCTGTAGGCTTTTATTTTCTGTGCGAGACTGTGTAAAAATGGATTCAAATTGTGCAACGTAAAAGAGGTATAAATTGTACATTGTTATTCAATAAAGCAGAAGAGTTCTTTCTCAGTTAGATGGATTCTGTCAGATATCACGGACATCTCTGTGGGCTTTTGGAACTCTCAAAGTTATTCCTTCAAAGGCCTTGGTAACAATGATCTGACAGCCAAGACGAGACCTAAAAAAAGTAGAAAGCAAAATTATACTCAGTTTGTACCCAGATCACTCATTCAAGTCACAAAAGCCTCAACATTTCCTACTAACAGTAGTTGCAAATTGTCTACATGTGTCTAATTACCTCCTCTACTAGAGAACTGTTAATTTTTTAGCTAATTATTGACTCATGATACCTCAAACTCTTTCCAACTCAAACCTTCAACTGGCTTGAACCAAATCCATTCCCATGGATTTCTGTTAAACATCCACCACAAATTTTACCCTGGATAATGCCAACCTTTTACAATACACACTTTGTGCTAACTCTCAGCAGTTTTCAGTTCCCTTTAGCACATTTTCTGAAAAACTTTACCCATAAAAGAAGATCAAAAACCCAGAAGTGTCCCATTGTCCAAACCACACAACTATTTTGAAGCTGCTGTGTATTAATTCTTTGTCACAAAATCAAGTTCTTCTAGTTTAATCCACATTTAATTACAGTAGCTGCTGTACATTTACTGTAATCTTTTGGATTTTTTACTTCTTACTTCATCTCCCTTAAAAATATGTTAATTTGGTGTTATCAACTGAGTTAATAACATAAATTAGCCACTGTTAAAGAGTTTCACAACTAACATTTCAAGCTTAACCCCTTTGTCATTTGCTCTGATTAAGAGTTAATGCTTGAAATGTCACCTCAGGAACTCTTAATGGTGGCCAATTCAGGTTCTCAACTTAGTTGATGATACCATATTACCTTTTGTTACACTTCCCCACTGACACAGCATTGTAATTTCTTTAGAAACTTACTCATTTATTCATAAGTCAAAATATGGCTGGGAAACAGTGAACTTACGTGTCTTCCAGTCCATATGCTAAGTCCAGCATGTCAAGTTCCTCATCTGATGGGTCATCCAAGTTCAATGTCTTCATTTCTTCAGGTTCAAATATCAAATGACAAGTAGAACATGACAGGGTCCCTTCACAAGCACCTGTAATGAAATCACTGCATAGTCATCAAGTGTTCTCCAAAATGATATATTTTTAGCAGCCAGCCATACAAAAAAATCAAATTTAAAATAATATAAAAAAATTTATTTCAGATCAAGAGTGGTAGTTTACTGCTTTGTCTAGTTTAAGCAGCTGGCACCTTATAGAGAAATGGCCCAATAAAATGCCCTCCACCAGGACTTCTGACCAATGTTAGGTTGATCAATAAACACTCAGTAATCAGCAAGATCTATACCCTTTAAAACCCTAATAAAGATTAGCATCTAATTTACTCCTTACACTGAATATCACCCCCGAATCACACCACACATTAAGGTCACAGGAGTAGAGGAAAAATCAATGATCAACAACTACAAAAGCTCTTGATTGTTAAACAAACTTTCTTTGTCCACACCATAGGAAATGTAATTAATACAGTATGGAGAATATTCAAACTGGACTCGGTTGTTTGAAGGATTAAAATAATGCTATCCACTGGATATACATCTATGTCCAGTGTATAGCACAGCACTTTTGTTAATTCCTATCCACTGGATAGCAGTTTATCTGTTGGATACTGTTGTCTGCCATTTGAACAACAAGACCCTGATGGCAAGGTGTAAAGGGTTCACTGACAAGTGGAAAAGTGATGAATCCTTTTTAACCAAGAAGTGATACTTTAACAGGAAAGGGACAGTGCTTGTCAGAAAGTATAGTTTAAAGGAAACCAATTCAGCCTCATTTGAACCTCATGGCACATGTACTTGTATTAAATACAATTAAAAGGAATGAAAGAGAATGCTTCCAAATTACAAGAACATACAGAGAAGGCATTTCTTTAAAGTTTATCAAATGATAAAATTCTGTATACTTACCTTCTAAATCAAGATCATTGTCTTTTGCCACATCCAATAAACTATCTCCTATTTTTGCACCAACAGTCATTTTGTCTCCATCTCTATCAATAAAACTTACTGTCACCCTGAAAAAGAGGTAAAAAATGGTCAGAATTATCAAAGTTCAAGAAACAGTGTACTGTTAAATCCACATTTTGGAGCTTTAGTGTCTCAAAACCTCTGATAATTTTCACTAAAACTAGCTCCCCTAAACCCTCTCCACCCTAACATCAGTATACATATTCTCCTTACTGTTTCCTCTACATTTCCTAAGGTGCTGACAAGGAGACTGTTTAATAAGAGCTGCTTTAGTTGGTGATCATTTCCCCTATTCCTATGAGAATGTTTAATTCAAGAGTGATATTATAAGGAGAAATGAGATGCTAGTCACTCTAAGGGGTTAAAGGGCTAAAGTAATTTTATCTTAATTTTTTTAACCTTTCAGGGACTCAAAACCTTTTTTCTTTTTCTCAAGGAGTTCTTAAAAAAGACTGAATGGCCAAAATGTCCATATTAACTACTTTTTTGTTTGTTTTACATACAGCATACCAACAGGGCATAATGCACTGCATGATGAAACTGAGAACTTCTGGTTGATGCAAGAAACCAATAAGTACAAGTAAATCATGATGAACACAACTCTTGAGGTGAATCCTTAAGAAGTGAGGCTGATACTACACAAAAGGATCCATGTTACCCATTACAATTAGCAGCTGTTTTCTTTTTCAACCCAGAGGGCTTAGGTAAGTATATTTGGGCTTAGGTAAGTATATTATATTATCATACTACTTTCATCATATTGTTATATTTAATAATTGTAATTTCATATCATCATTTAACTTATTTCACACATATTAAACAAAGGACTGCGAAGATACATTGTTCATTCAGTCAGAGACACAAACGATAGTACTTCAAAGTGGAGGGTAACAAATGGCTTCCAATCTATGAAATATGTCGGTCAGTAAGAAAAAACCTCAGTATGTGCAGGATAAAAACATCATACCCAGGAAAAAGCTTGAACAATTTTCATTTACTTGTCATGATGCATCAAAACAATCACTCTTTGCATGGAATAATCTCTCTTCACAAACTGAGACTAATGTAAAATCAGACAAGGTTTTTACTTGTGGATAAGTAGTTTTTACTACAAAAGTTTATTTTGCTTTAATTTGCTTCATTTCAGACTTGAGCATACCAGCACCACAGGCAAGAAGATTTTTGTGTCTTAAGTGCATAGCAACTAGACACTTTGCAGGAGTGGTAAGAGATTGTTCAAGTGCTTTAAATAGGACAACAAATAACATAATGACACAATGCGGTAATGGTTTCTGTGAAATTTACAGTACATGACAGGGTACAGGAAGTAAGCATTCATTGCACAACACAAATATGACAAGAATGTGTAACCAGTGATGGGGTGTAACAACATGTGTTTGTCCCAAGATCTGTTGTGTTGAATCAGAAATCCTTATTTAGTAAGTGAAACTCCTTGAGCAAACAGAGGGATATTCCACACCAATTGAATTCGAAGAAGACAACCTGACAAGAATTAAGGTTATTGTCATAGAGAACCATGCAAAAAGTTAACACCGGTGAAACAAGAAGACAACTAGGTGTCACTGATTCTGAGAACACCTTCACGATGTAGAAAGAAATAAAGGACACATCGAAACTAGTTGCTAGACAATCACCCATTCCAAACAGCATATGGCAGTTTGCAACCTTTCCCTGCTTCAAGGCAGTTCAGAAAGACACAAAAATCTAGAACAAAAATTTACCTTTCAAATCGGCACTCTTAATCCCCATGGTATTAACAAATGCTTTTCAATCAACTAATTTTCCCTGGTTTTTTGGTACCATGTTCTCACCATTGGAACATAGCTCCATTTTCCACATATAAACACACACAACCCACAATTCCTCCATTTCCTCTGATTAAAGGCTAATGCTCAAAACCTCAGCTTTAAAACTCTTTATGGTGGCCAATTTACCTCATCAATATCGATGATAATACCAAATTACCATGCATCTTGTAGACTGCCATGTCTTAGGGAGGGACTGAGGAAGCACAGCAAGGTTATTTATTAGCAAACTAGTGTTCACAAAGTTACTGATTCAAAAAGGGCTTTTGATCATACCTGCTCCCATTTCACCTTCATAATCGACTTTAAGACTTTGTTCATTGTTACTTTTCTTTTAATCCACACACGATCAGTACTACATGGCCAGTGTTTTAATAGACTTCAAGATTTTACTGACTTTCTGCAGGATGATCCACCCCTCAGGAACTAACACATGGCATAATTTGTATATTCCTTTTGATTTAATTTTAAAATTCCTTGTGTTCATTTACTCTCCATTTCATTTTGTATGCCAAATATGGTAATGCTCCAATATGATCATAATTCCTCACAAATTGTACCCAAATTGAATCTATCTTCATTTTGCATGAGAATTAAATATTTTATAGAAATCCTTGTGCTGAAATATGTTTGTTTTTTTTGCACCAAAATTTCCAAAAAAGTGGTTTAATACCAAAATTGTATTTGCTGTTGCTTAAATATTAAAAAAAATCCTGTTTGGTAGTCATAATTGGTTTTAGTTTTGCTTCTTATTGGTTGACAAACTCTATCATGGATCAATTTGCTTCAAAAACTCAAAACTCATAGCATAATTATTAGATAGACTATCAAACAATTTCCTTAAAAACAACTGCATTTAGGTACAACTATGCACCCAGTTACATCTATCCAGCATATGTTCTGAATAAATTTGAAGTGCAGTACACCAGTGTAAGCATGTTATTATCTAATAACATGTTCATTTCCATTTTGCACTAGATACAAGTACGAAGTGCGGACCTATTTTTAATATGTCAAATGTCTATTTCTTGTGGCTGCACAGATAAATAAGTTTGTCATCGAGGAACCTTGACTTCGAATATTACGAACATATTTTACGATAGACAAGTGAGTAAACTAATTAGATTTTGATTGCAACTAGTTTAAAAACCTTATTTAATGTTGTAAAAAACTGTGGAGAGACCGTTCTCTGAGAAATGATGGTGAAAACTGGCTTAGATTTGCATTTGTTTGGTTCCCTTAAGGGACGAACAATGAACATGATATGAAAATAAAGAATCTATAGGTATGAACTTTGACTTACACATCCTTTTTCTCATTCGTCTTTGACGTGGATGTACTGGCCATTCGTATACAGACATTTCTTGTTACAAATAAAGATGTATTTCTTGGACATAAATTGAAATAATGTTTCAAAGGTGAAAGAGTTGTTGGAGAACAAAACTTGCGTAATAGGCGAGCAGCCATTTTAATCAGAGAGACCGAGAATTATATACGAAGACTGGGAACGACATTTTGGAATCAATCAGCGTTGCGTTGTTCGTCATGTGTATAATTAGAAAGCTGCTTAATATTTGTTTCATCGAAGTCATTTGTTTCCTGTTTACTTACTAACTTCATTTATTCTCTCCGGTAAAACCATGTCTCTTTCAGGCTGTTTAATTTTTCGTGATATGCGTCCTATGGGAAATGCTTTTAAACCACTTTATCCGAAAATGAAGAATATTATGCAACACTGTGGTCCCATAGAGTTTTTGAAAACTGTAACCTTTATGGTATTTTATCATAGATTGCCACACACAGTCCGTAAAATAATAAGTATTTTTTTAAGTGCTTTTTTTTAGTTTTGCATGCATAGATGAGCAGCGGCGAGCAGGTAGCAAGAGTGGGTTGTGCGTATTTCAAGTGATCTGGTCAAGTTTTTTTTTTTTTCCCTTTTCGATTTGTTGTTTTGTTTTTTTTTTTTGTTGTTGCTGTTGTTTTGTTTTTCTTTTTTGCTTTAGGTTGTTTGTTTCGAACCTTAGCTCCTCGTCAGAGCTAAATACACACCAAACTCTCGGTCAGCTTTGACTTGCAAAGGCGACTCGTGCGTCGGGGAAGAGAAAGGTGAATTCCTATTTTTAGGTTGATTATGTCATAGCAACCGCCTTCTCTGAGCTGAAATAGAAAAGCTTTGTAACATTTGGAATATAAAGAAATGAACTGCAGGAGTGATTGGTCGTAAATTTGAAATGTGTAGTTCATGGTATATGGTCCCTTTATAATTAAATATGCTTGAAAATGGTAAAGGTCTATTCTTTCCTGTAAAATGCGGGAAAAAATATTTTATTCGGTGATACGTGATCGAGAACTTCAGCTTTCATGCCTGCTTGTCTGTGCTACTTCCAGAACAGCTGCGTGGCTACTAAGCAGGTGGCGCGCCCTTACTTCCTCACATCCGGGGATGTTGTAAAGTCAGCACAATATTACTAACACACGGTGTACGGCGTTTCGAATCATGAAGTCGGGAGTTGTTATCTTTCTTCTTCTCTCCGTAGTATACGGTTCAGAAGTGAGCCTCAAGGAGACAACTAAGGATCAAAGTACCCAAATTAATGTAACAGAGACGGATAGAGCTAACAGTGAGACTGTTAGCATCGATTTTGAGCAAACTAAGGTTGACCGTGATCAGAATGGCGGCGTTAAAGATGCTAGAATTCTAAGAGTGAGTTTGCTTCCCTTTTATTGGTATTTTACATCAGTTTTACGGCTTATTAGAGAAATGGTATGACCAGGAAAAGAGAGATATCGAAGAACTTTTAGGATCCTAATTCGACTGTTGCTTAAACTTTGGTCAAAATTCGATATGGCCGCTTAATTAAGAAAGTGACGCTAGCATGCAGAAATATAAATGTTTTTTATGGACTTTGACCTGGTTTAAACCATTTATATATTTGCTACCGGACAAAAGTATTTCTTTCAAGTACGTCGAAGTTCTTTATGACTCATTTGTTGTTTAAGCAAGTGTATGGACTTGATGGACTTGATTAGACTACCTGAGATGGTATTAAATGCAGCGACAGCACCTCAAATAATTCTAAAAACCCTAAGGGGTAATGTCTCCATTTGGTAGATTATGTACATTATTTGGTAGCAACAAGAAAGGAAAAAAAGGAAGCAGATTTGTCATTTTAAACCTTTTGTAAAAAGTTGGTTATCAGCGTTAGACCCCTTCTTGTCAGTTGCATTTAAATGTAGGTCGGTTCGAAATAAGAAAAATATCCATCCTTTGACACAAAAGTTATCTTGACGAAAAAGAAAAATATAACAGTAAAACATTGGCTATGACTGATACCAATTTTGAAAACAGCTAGCAAATGTTTTTGAGTAATGTTTCTCCTTGTAATCAAACTTAACCTACCGATCTATGTTGTGTTTATTTCAGTACTGAGTACTGCAGGTGTCAGAGTTATATGATAACAACAGTTTACTATAAATGGAAATGTCAGACAGTTTTCATACATAGCAAGAAACACAAGAAACTCAAGGATTTGGCAGGGTCTTGTAGATTGTCATTCATCTGCATACCAAACAAAATGCAAAGTCATGGAACAGAGAGTTTGGGAACAGTGTTTGACTTACCAATGAAACAGTTATTTACAAACAGGTTGCTAGATGGAGCAATTAGTGAGGGAGATTTGACTACAGTGTGATATTTTTGTAACAATACAGTGTATGAAATTTATATTCATATAGAGTTCATCTTCTTTTGAGCTTCTATACATTACCTGTTGAATTTGTAAACTTGTTTGTTGTCAATGATCATAAAAATGTACAAGTATCAAGTGTGGGTATTTTCTTCACCTGTCTGCACAACACTTTGCAGATGTTGTGATGGGAAGTTAATTGCATAATATTTTTTTCTCTTTCAGGTAAACATCCGAGTCAGTGTTGTGGATGGTGTAGTTCACGTGAACAATGCCAAAGCCATTCATAAGGCAGTCACAACTTTCCACTTCTATGCAGAAATTGGTAAGGCAATATAAATTTGTGCTAGCTTTGTGCTCATGTGGCTTGCATTTTTATGACAACTCCTCTAGTGATATTGAGCCCTTAAAAGGTAATTCAAATGTTAACAGTTTTACTTGTCACAAAATAGGCTGAAATTCCTTAGCAGAAACTGCAACTGCTGATGCTATTTTTTTAACTGTACAAGCTCCCTTTTCATTTCTTCATGTCGCTCATAAGAATATTCATACATGTAGTTAAAAAATTGAACACTTTTACGCTGTACATTTATGTTTGTTGAAGTTAGTGATAGATATTTTAAGTTGTAGTAAAAGCAAGTCTTCATGGTGCTGTGCCATCCTTGCCCCTATCAAGAGCAGGTACATGGTGATTTATACAAGGATAAAAGTACAGTGTTTGCTGTATATTGTGTTTAACTGTCATCTATTATTGCAGATGAAATTGGCAAGAACCGTGAGGTACTTCAGCACATGCCAAGGGTCCTTATTGTGATCAGGGTGTTGGTTAATGAATCAGAACAGATAAATGAGCAGGGAGTTTTCAAAATGCTGCGTGTGCAGGAGGAAATTGTTGAGGTAGACAAGCAAGCGTTGACACAAATCAAAGTGACACAGCTTGTGTTGAAACTAGATTCTGCCAACAATGAATTGATTGGCAAGCGCGTGGTCACAACAATTGAGCTGAAAGATTCTGATTTACACAAGATACCCCGCGATAAAGACAATCATAGATACCCTGATGGTAAGTACTGCTAGTGGCTTTTGCTGTACAGTGTTTCTTATTCGCTATTTTGGATGATGGTTTCCATTGTGATTCACATGTTTAATGTTAGCCTTAATGACAGAGTCTGTTGACACAGTGGCTCCTTTGTTACTGCAACCTGGTTAGAATCAGACAAAGCTTTCTGTTTTCTCTTCAAATGCCATCATATAGAACATGTGGCTACTTACAGATCACTGCACTTGATCAGGAGAACATTCAGAAGGCTTTTGAATTACTCACCTCCAGCTTGAGATTTACAAACTTTTCTCCCAACATCCTGCACATGTTATTTTTGGATAAACCATAGAAAGTGTCATCTTGTATAATTCAAATAGACCAGGAGGAGCAACAATGCTCTTAGTTGGCTTGTGCTAACCAAATCATAATGAGCTCTGGTAGACTTACATTGAAATCTTTTATATGTACAGTATATCTACATACAACTGTACTGTTTTTAATAATTTGTTTAGTTACTGCTTAAATCAATTGACAGTTCTGACTAATTTAATTTGCTTTTAGGCCACTTGCCTGACCACCCATACAGTGACAAGTCAAACCCAAAACCCAAGCCAGCTCAGCTTCCAAACCATCCTTTGCAAGCTGACTCGGTAAAACATAAAACTTAAGATTTGTATGCATGCAAAGTAGACAGTTGGTCAGACAGGGTAGTGCATGTGCATATGCATGTACATAAGGGCTAGGATCCAGTCAACTTTGCTGGTGACTTTGTAGAATACATGCACCGTAAAATATGATCCTCAACACAGTTGCCATTTTTTAAACCTCTTCCTACTTCAAAATTTATTGTAAACTCTGTCTTCAGTCTGTAGCTCAAGTTGATACAACATGAAATTGAGATTTACTTTCAAATATCATACACAACATATTTGACGTTTGGAAACATTTTCCTACTTCAAAATTTTCAGTAAATCCCGTTAAGATAAAACATGAAAGAAACAAAAACTGATATTGTTGCTGTTGTCTTGATTTACATTTATCAATCCATATGAGTTTATATTTGTATTTTGTAAGTGGTGTCAGTGTGGTTTTGTGAAAAGTTTTCTTTACATTTCTCTGGAGGTTAATTTTATCTGCAAGAAACTACTCTCAGACAGGGAGGAAACTGTTTTATTGCCATTGTTATTTTACAGTTTTGTTAGCCTTGAAAATCTGTGAGTGAGGGTTTCAAAAAGTTATTAGCATAAAATATTTCAGAGTAGGATTACTACGTCAAAACAAAATATTCTTCACACATATTTTCACAACATTGAGTGCCATTAGCTGTATTGCACTCTCTGCAGAGTACAGTGCTCATTGTGCTGTTTCTTTGTAGTTGGAATTTGAAGAGTGTGTTACTAGCTTCCAGGCTTAACCTGTGGAACATTCAGTAGTTTCTTAAACACTGTTTTGCTGTATGTCTATCTTAGTCAAAGCATGGACTCTGCGCAAAGTTCCACAAGCTGCCATTTGCTGCCCGCTTGGCTGTCTTTGCAGTGGTGGCTATTATTGGCATTGGTACCTTCACCTGCTGTTTGTGGGTGTTCTGCTGCAAACCACCAGCCTCAGGCAAGAAAATCAACCTCAAAGACTATGAGGACAAGTTTTCATATGATGGGGAGTTTGA